GGCATGAAAACACCCGGCGGCAGTGGGCTCCAGCATGGAAATAGTTCAGTGGCCATGGGCTTCATCGAGAAGGAGCTCCGGCAGCGATGATGAAGAAATGGGATTTATTTTTTTGGGAGAAAGAAACTGGGGTTTATTTAGGTATTCTCTTCTAAATTAGGGAAAACCGGAAATCAGGCCGACCTGGAAATAAAATTGCCAGGACAGCCATAAAGAAACGGTGCATCTTAACAATAAACCCTTCGTCTAAACTGAATCACATCTCTTTCACGCAAGGCTGAACTGAAATTCTCTTTCCTAAAATCCCATTTCTCCCCTCCATAACCGAGGCTCAAACTTCCTAAAACCATTCCCCTCCTCTTTTAATCAGTGACACTGGCCTTAGTCTGAATCAAATAAATCTGGGTTTTGAAATCAAATAAACAGTAGCTATTCCTTAAAAACAAAAGACCTTACGCCAAAGACTATAGCAAAGATTGAATTTTGTTCGCAGCACCACCCAAAAAGCATAAACAACTTGAATTCCAAACGAAGTTTACCTGATTATAAGTTTGTGCCTAAATTTGTGCTTTCCCTTGGTAATTCATTCAAATTATTTTGTATCAAACAACCCATCTGTTTTCTTCACCTACAACTAAGGGAAGAAAAGTAAATGAAATAGGAAAACAGCTGGTGTTTGGAAATGGAGATTGACATGGAAACGATGGCTTCATAATTGAGAAGAAGAAAAATTGGACGAGCTGCTAACCTTAATCAACCAGAAATTACCAGAACAAGAAAAAAAATATACAACAAAAGTAGGATGCAATATATTAACTCAACTTGCAAGGAAGTCGACAAAGATTCCTTCAGGGACGTGTGATGTTCCTTGGTGACTTTAGGCTTCAGGGAATCCTGTAGGAAGAAGAGATTTCCGTGTGATGTTCCTTGGTGACTTTAGGCTTCAGGGAATCCTGTAGGAAGAAGAGATTTCCGTGTGATGTTCCTTGGTGACTTTAGGCTTCAAGGAATCCTGTAGGAAGAAGAGACTTGAGTGCAGTGGAAGAGCTCTAGAGAAGTCTGGAAGCATTTATTTCGAGGATATACCAAATGATTAAACGCACCGTTCCTTGTCCGACTTGCTCCTTTTTTATGTAAATCTAATAATAATTATACGACACTGGTTAGAATAAGTATCTCCTTTTTCAAATCCATTTCAAGATTTAAAGTATAAAATTTTTAACTTAAAATTTTAAAGTTTTTACTCATTAAGACACTCTTAAAAACATTTATTGGTGTAGGGTGTAATTTTTAAATTTTATATTGTAAATTTGGTATGCTAAACATACTTATCTTATGAATAATAACTTAAAAAGAAACTAGCTCAAAAGAAGGGGTGGGGTTATTGCCACAGCCACTAATGTTAATGCCACAGCTTTTTTCAGTTATTTGACCATTAACCCACGCGGAGAAGGTGGTGACTGCTGTAAGTTGGATTCAAATGAGGGGTATAATAATCAAATAACTAAAAAAAGCTGTGGCATTAACATTAGTGGCTGTGGCAATAACCCCACCCAAAAGAAGTACGTGGCTTATTTGGTAAAGATTTTGTTTTTTATTTTGATAATTAAGATTTAATGTTTTAAAAAATTAATAAAAAATAATTTTTTATAAATTTTTTAATTTTAAATAAATAACTTATTTTTAATTAGACTAAAAAAATAAATTTAAATTACCTATAAACTGCCTCTGTCCCGAGACAGCTTGACTATTAATCCAAAAATAAAAAATATAAATAAGATGCATACAGAAGGTCTTGTCGCGAAACAACATCAACAATCATCAAGCGTGTTACTAAGGACAATATTCTTAATCTAATCGATCGAGTATGTTTGGTAAAATTTATAAATATTTTAATTTTTTAATATTATTTATATTTCATAAATTTAAATTTTTTTTCAAAAAATTTATATTTTTAATTTATTTTTAATTTTAAAAAATTTTAAACAATAAATTTTAAAAAATTTTAATTTTTTATTTTTTATAAATTTTTTTACTCACTTTTTAACTCATTTTTATTATTTTTAAAAATAATTTTTAAAATTTTCATTTAATAAAAATTTAAATTTATAACTCATATAAAGTATAAAAAAATATAAAAATTTCACAAAACTCTGCCAAATAGGTCCGATGTTAAGTTTGACAAGAATGCCAGATAACAGAGACAATGTAAGCTGGTCAGCAAAAACCATAAACAAAAGTTTATCCTAGTCATGAAAGCAAAAGAACAACCATTAATAAAACCAAATCTCTTAAAATTTAATTCATAATCATTTTTTTTCTCAATTTCTAATATTAATTTACAGAGCTGTTGGGCCAAAAAGAAAAATTTACAGAGCGGGGTTCATCTTGTCCAAACATGAGAGATACCATAACAGCAGTCCCTCTATTGACACAATTACAATGGCTTGCAAATTTTTCTTCATATGATGAAATTGCAACCAAAAAAACAAAAAAAGAAGGGAACATTGTACGTGTTTAGGTGCCGGTTTGGCTCCTTCTCAGTGAAACTCTATTGAAGTTCTTTCTGCTTCTCAAGTATTTCAGCAGATTGAATATGCTTTCCATCTTTCTTCTCGTACTCATCTTTGGAACCTTCCAAGCTCCTGGATACCTAATAATCATGCAAACATGCATAAACATGGAAATGATTAATTAAGATCCATCTGTAACCTTAAGTACTGCCCGGAAACATGCATGGGAAATATAAGGTGCGGCTCAGTACCTACACCACAGTGCTCATTCTTGGGCAATGGCATAACTAAAATGGGTATCCATTCTAGTTCCTTAAGTGGAGATCTTTCTGTTTGGTTTTTCATTTGTGATAGGGTTTTATTGGACACATGGAGATTATTGGCATTTCTTAATTATAGTGGTAAGTAACAAAATCTCTGGAAGTACAGGAGTTTAATCTTCCTTTTTTTTTTTTTGAACTTGTACAATTGGGGGATTGGAAATGGGATTGCCAAGGCTTGAACCTTGGACTTCTAGGTGTCACCACTCTTCTCAAAGGACAACGGTGGTTGGTCAAAAGTTAAATCTTGAAAACTATTACTCCACATTAAAGTTCATAACATGCAGATAAAATGCAATGGAGATCTTAGAAAGAATAGCATAGAGAAAGTATAGAGAGAAAGAGAGAGAGAACCTTTATTGAGTAAGCCATTGGAAGTAATGTATCTGGATCCATTGCATCCTCAGGGAAGTTACGCAGAGAATGAATGAGTTTCTCAAAAGGTAATTTTATCTGATGACAACAAGTACTGGCATTTTAAGCAGAAAACAAAAATAGTACTTTGGGTCTAAAAAAGACTAAATGACCTAAGGTCCTTACCAAGTCATCATGGCAGTATTTTAACAGGGCCAAGCCAACTTTGAAGACAATTTTGACACCCTAAAATAGAAAACAGAAAATTGCATTTTCTTAAACCAACTTTGAGACCAAAAGGAGGGTAACAGTTGAAAAAATATATGATGTTTCTAGTTATGTACCTCATAGAGAAAAACATCCCAAATTCGTAGAGCCAAATGGAAGGGAAATGAGTATGAGAATACAGTAATAAACCACTGGCTAGCATACATGCTAGGATTTATCATTTCTTGGCTGAAATGCTCCCCCAGCTTTGGCAAATGCTCCCTCACCAAGTGGTCAAACTGAAATAGGTATTGTTGTACAAGAGGCAAACCAGCCTGCCAATATATAATCATATAAAAGGGCTTTCAACGAAATTAAATAAAACTCTAATTAGTTGACACCCAATAGAGATTTTTAAAAAATTGTCCAACATGCTCCAGGAAATTCTGGCCACAATTGGACCATTTGTATTTAATAAAGAAGGATTGAAGATATCACCATAGCATATTCTCATGAAATTAAAACAAGCGAAGTTAAGACTTAGAACGATATTGAAAAGTAAACTGTTTAAACAGCTACCAAAGAGTTCCTCAGAAATTATCAGAAAGCAATGGAAATAAACTACTTATAAATATTATGCAGGGAAGAAGACTGTGGGTTATGGTGCTGAATATTATAAAATTAAAGCTGGAAAATTCCAATGACTAACAAACAAGAAGGCAGCGGTGAAACATAGGATTAAATCAGAGGTCAGATGCAACCTCTTGAGAGAGTGACAGTTGCAATCACTCGAAACTCCTTTTCAAATGCTTAGAATTTTCTAGTTAATGCTGTATTCAGTCTAACAAAATAAGTTATTGGAACAACAGAATTACCTGATATAATCCTTCCATAGGGGCATGGACAGCACCTTTGAGTAATGCAACTAATAACCAAAATGCATCCTCTTCGCTCATATAAAGAAGCAAAAAACCTGCTAAAAAACCCATTCCCTGCATTTTAAACAAAACTGATGGTGTTATTACCCTAGAACAATATAAGAGTGCTGAGGCACATGATACTAATCTGAAGATAAACATATGGCCAAAGACAGTTAAAAATATGAGAGAACTCAGATGCATGATATTAACCTGAACATAACCAACTTCACGGTCAAAGACAGAATATGCCTTCAAAACATTGTAGAGGGACCTTTGCCCAGGCCCATGTCTCTGCTGGAAGAAAACATGTGAAGGGAAGGTGCGAGATATATCCCGAATTATATCTAATTCTGAAGCAGATGTCTCATATATAACAAGTTGCTGAAAAAGGCAAAAAGTTTGATCAGCAGCCCGTTCATTTGGAGAAAAGAAATGAATATAATACAAAGGCCATTGTTCAGAAACAACAAATCAGTTAGTTAAGAGACTCGGACCAAATTCACAAGAGAAACTAGGAAAAGAGGTACCTCATATACCCCTGGGTTCATAAGCAAAAGGTCTCGACTTCCAGAGATCAGTTGCCAAACAAGGCCCCTTAAACAATCAGGAATTCCTTTCCGTATACGCCTCTTGACCACATGAGGTTTCCTCCTAACATAATGCTTCCAATCACTCCCTCCAACCCCAATCATCTTCCTCCATTTTCTAACTCTTCTTGTCTCCCTAAAATTTGTTTGAAAACCATAGATTACGTCGTGGAGGAAAAGGCAACGAAGCATGCCAATTACACTCATATTAGCTAATAGAACTTTAAATAAATATGCTAAAGAAAATGCATACCTCTCGTATTCAATATTCAACCTACTCTTCAATAAACCTTCTGGAGAATTACTAGCATCCTGCTTTATAAGCCCAAATTTGTCTAGTGCTCTAGGAGAAGGAACTCGCTCCATTACACTATCTCCAAGAAGCTTGTATTCCTTAACACGGTGGTCATACCTGCAAGCAGAATCTATAACTTCAACCATAATAAGAGGAATTCAATATCAAGAAATTATATCAATTCTTCACAAAGATTAAAACTTTACACAGAGAACAGGAAGAGAACAAACTAACAATGAAAACCCAGAAATACTTTGCGAAAAATATTAAATGGGCATACTCCAAAATTGCAAATTAAACGATAAAAAGAACGGATAATATTCTGAAACCCAGAAAAATTCCTACCTGCGAGAAGGGAACTGGAGTCTGGAATCAAATATCTATCCGGCTTTGATCGGTGATGTGATAATGATTACCAAAGAATGGTAGTTTCTGTTGGAAATCTCCAAACCAATCGGGGTCAATTTATCTCGGACACCCGTAAATGCACAGAGAAAAAAAAAAAGAAAAAGAAAAAGGAAAAAACCGCAACCGACAATAACAATTTTTCGAGAAAATACATCTTACCGCGTATATACGCGTATTGTAATCTGCAAGGAAAATGGACACTGAAACGACGTCGTATGATAATGTCCAATTGGGGTACATGATCAACGGCTAGGATTCTTTGTCATTGTGAGGAAGTGTTAGCCAAATCAATGTTAGTGATTTTTCTTTGTAAATAATTATAATATGAAAATATTAGTTTAGTAATAAATATGAGTAGTTTTATCTTTTAACTGTTTTTAACTACTAAATTAAATTGAATTAGTATCGTTTTTATTTTAAAATATAATATATAAAAAATTATATGACTTTAACATTTTTAAGTATAACTATAATTTTTAGTTATTTTATTAATAAATAATAACTTAATTCTGTTTTTTCCCCTTTCTCTCTCTTTCTGTATTTTCTACTCTCTCTCCATCTGATTTCCGATTCTCATCCCATTCCCCTTCTTCCTTCTTATCTCTAATTCTTCTGTAAACCCTATCCTACAATTGGCTTGTATCATCGTATATCTCTGATGATGATCTTTTAATGGAGTGAATACCAAATATTCGTATTCAAACATGTTCAGTTGGTATGCATCTATCTGTTCATGCCATGTAACCAAACTAAGATTTTAGTATAAAAAAATTATTGTGTATGAATTCGATAAATAAAATGTATAATGATCAATTTTCTCCAACATATCTTTTTCACTCTTTTACTCTATCTTCATACATTTTGTGCTGATTTCAGACAAGTGTCATAAAAGCTAAGCCAGCATAGAAATATGATAATTACATCATCTGGATGCCTTTCAACAGTGTCTTCATTTTCAGAAGTGGCCGCCACCTCTTATGAAGGCTCTCAAAGAGGCGATGATGCGAATGTGTCCTGCACTCTTCAGGTTTCTTCAAATAGAACCATTGAAGGTTTGGCAAAACATGAATATAAGCCAAATGGCTCCTTTGTTACATTAGGAGAGATTCTTATCAGTGATCGAGGCAACAGAACCAGTAACACGAGCCCTCGCCAAAGTTACCTTTCGAATG